TCAGATTTGTCAGCGGCACAATATGCTGCCAAACTTCCGTTCTAGTACATCCCAAAGATATTCCATTGCATCCACTTCCAATGATTGGTCTACCATCTGTGCCTCAGGAGAAATCAAGATTCACCAGACTAGACCACCTTTTTTACAAGTCTTCACCTGACTTCTTTTGGTGATCTTTATTCCCAGTCTTCACCAGTGGAATTTTGGTGATCCCGTTTTCCCAGTCTCCGCCTGTCCAGTTTTGGTGATCCTGTTTTCCCAAATCTTCACTTGTTGAATTTTTAGTCTTCAACTGATTAGTTTTGAAGATCCTGTTTTCTATTTTCTCAGTCGTCACCTGTCCAGTTTTGGTGATCCTGTTTCCCCAGTCTTGACATGTCCAAGTTTTGGTGATCCTGTTTTCCCAGTCTTTACCTGTCCAGTTTTGGTAATCCTGTCTTACCAGTCTTCACCTGTCCAATTTGGTGATCCTATTTTCTCAGTCGTCACCTGTCCAGTTTTTGGTGATCCTGTTTCTCCAGTCTTGACATGTCCAAGTTTTGGTGATCCTGTTTTCCCAGTCTTCACCTGTCCAATTTTGGTGATCCTGTTATTCCAGTCCTCACCTGATTAGTTTTGGTGATCCTGTTTTCCCAGTCTTGACATGTCCAAGTTTTGGTGATCCTGTTTCCCAGTCTTCACCAGCGCAATTTTGGTGATCCCATTTTCCCAGTCTCCCCCTGTCCAGTTTTGGTGATCCTGTTTTCCCAAATCTTCACTTGTTGAATTTTTAGTCTTCAACTGATTAGTTTTGAAGATCCTGTTTTCCAGGTATTCACCTGTCCAATTTTTGGTGATCCTGTTTCTCCAGTCTTGACATGTCCAAGTTTTGGTGATCCTGTTTCTCCAGTCTTGACATGTCCAAGTTTTGGTGATCCTGTTTTCCCAGTCTTCACCTGTCCAATTTTGTGATCCCGTTTTCCCAGTCTCCACCTGTCCTGTTTTGGTGATCCTGTTTTCCCAATCTTCACTTTTTGATTTTTAGTCTTCAACTGATAAGTTTTGGTAATCCTGTCTTACCAGTCTTCACCTGTCCAGTTTTGGTGATCCTGTTATTCCAGTCCTCACCTGATTAGTTTTGGTGATCCTGTTTTCTCACTCTTGACCTGACTAGTTTTGGTGATCCTGTTTCCCAGTCTTCACCTGTCCAGTTTTGGTGATCCTGTTTTCTCTTCACCTGTCCATTTTGGTGATCTTGTTTTCCCAGTCTTCACCAGTCCAGTTTTGGTGTTCCTGTTTTCCCGATCTTCACTTGTCCAGTTTTGGTGATCCTGTTATGCCAGTCTTCACCTGACTAATTTTGGTGATCTTGTTTTCCCAGTCTACAACTGTCCAGTTTGGTGATCCTGTTTTTTTTTCACCTGTCCAGTTTGGTGATTTTATTTTCCCAATCTTTTCCTGTCCAGTTTGGTGATTTTATTTTCCCAATCTTTTCCTGTCCAGTTTGGTGATCCCTTTTCCCCAGTCTTTAATTGTCCAGTTTTGGTGATCTTGTTATCTCAGTTTTCGCCTGTCCAGTTTTGGTGATCCTTTTTCCCCAGTCTTCTCCTGTCCAGTTTTGAGGATCCTGTTCCTTCTACAGCCTTGTCCTTCTGTTTTTGGTGAACAGGAACTTAGGGTGGTCTTCTGTTGATGTAGCCCCTCAAGGTTCCACCTGTTGTACATTCTGAGATGGTTTTTAAGTCACCAGAGTTGGATAATGAGTTCTTAAGGGAGTTATTGTAGCCTTTCCATCAGCGTGAATCAGTCCGGCCATTCTTCTCTGACCTCCTCAAAGTATTTCCATCCACAGAACTGCAGTTCACTGGATATTTTTTTTTTTGCTAACTATTCTGAGTAAACCCTAGAGACAGTTGTGTGTGAAAATCCCAGGAGATCAGTTACGGAAATACTCAAACCAACCTTTCCAGAACCAACAATCATGCCATAATGTGCAACTGTGTTAGAACATTAGAGTGTAAGCTTCTCTGGTGCAGAGACTAATGTGAATGGCCTGGTGTTCTCTGTACAACATTACAGAATATGTCAGAGCTATAAACATGTCTAGTAATAATAATAATAGTGTGTGACTGTGGGGGAGGGGACATTAGAGTGTAAGCTCCTCTGTACAGAGACTGATGTGACTGTGGGGGAGGGGACATTAGAGTGTAAGCTCCTCTGTACAGAGACTGATGTGACTGTGGGGGAGGGGACATTAGAGTGTAAGCTCCTCTGTACAGAGACTGATGTGACTGTGGGGGAGGGGACATTAGAGTGTAAGCTCCTCTGTACAGAGACTGATGTGACTGTGGGGGAGGGGATCAGGAATGGACTGACCATTCGAGCACCCGGGGCCCGGGGGTCAGTAGGGGGTCCCATGAAATGCCCCTTGGTACCTTTTATAGGCTTTTTTGGGTGTGCTTTGAGTGTGGGCAAGGACACAGGGGGCCCCATGATCCCCTATTGCCCAGGGGCCCCATGAGTTGTCAGTCCGCCCCTGGAGGGGACATTAGAGTGTAAGCTCCTCTGTACAGAGACTGATGTGACTGTGGGGGAGAGGACATTAGAGTGTAAGCTCCTCTGGTACAGAGACTGATGTGACTGTGGGGGAGGGGACATTAGAGTGTAAGCTCCTCTGTACAGAGACTGATGGGACTGTGGGGGAGGGGACATTAGAGTGTAAGCTCCTCTATACAGAGACTGATGTGACTGTGGGGGACGGGACCAGGAATGGACTGACCATTCGAGCACCCGGGACCCGGGGTCAGTAGGGGGCCCCATGAAATGCCCCTTGGTACCTTTTATAGGCTTTTTTGGGTGTGCTTTGAGTGTGGGCAAGGACACAGGGGCCCCATGATCCCCTATTGCCCGGGGGCCCCATGAGTTGTCAGTCCGCCCCTGGAGGGGACATTAGAGTGTAAGCTCCTCTGTACAGAGACTGATGTGACTGTGGGGGAGGGGACATTAGAGTGTAAGCTCCTCTGTACAGAGACTGATTTGACTGTGGGGGAGGGGACATTAGAGTGTAAGCTCCTCTGGTACAGAGACTGATGTGACTGGCTCAGTGTCCTCTGTACAGCACTGCGGTATATGTCAGAGCTATATAAATGTATAATAATAATAGTGTATGACTGTGGGGGAGGGGGCATTAGAGTGTAAGCTCCTCTGTACAGAGACTGATGTGACTGTGGGGGAGGGGACATTAGAGTTTAAGCTCCTCTGTACAGAGACTGATTTGACTGTGGGGGAGGGGACGTTAGAGTGTAAGCTCCTCTGTACAGAGACTGATGTGACTGTGGGGGAGGGGACATTAGAGTGTAAGCTCCTCTGTACAGAGACGGATGTGACTGTGGGGGAGGGGACATTAGAGTGTAAGTTCCTCTGTACAGAGACTGATGTGACTGTGGGGGAGGGGACATTAGAGTGTAAGTTCCTCTGTACAGAGACTGATGTGACTGTGGGGGAGGGGACATTAGAGTGTAAGCTCCTCTGTACAGAGACTGATGTGACTGTGGGGGGAGGGGACATTAGAGTGTAAGCTCCTCTGTACAGAGACTGATGTGACTGTGGGGGAGGGGACATTAGAGTGTAAGCTCCTCTGTACAGAGACTGATGTGACTGCGGGGGAGGGGACATTAGAGTGTAAGCTCCTCTGGTACAGAGACTGATGTGACTGTGGGGGAGGGGATATTAGAGTGTAACCTCCTCTGGTACAGAGACTGATGTGACTGTGGGGGAGGGGATATTAGAGTGTAACCTCCTCTAGTACAGAGACTGATGTGACTGTGGGGGGGGGGGATTAGAGTGTAAGCTCCTCTGGTACAGAGACTGATGTGACTGTGGGGGAGGGGACATTAGAGTGTAAGCTCCTCTGTACAGAGACTGATGTGACTGTGGGGGAGGGGACATTAGAGTGTAAGCTCCTCTGTACAGAGACTGATGTGACTGGCTCAGTGATCTCTGTACAGCACTGCGGTATGTGTCAGAGCTATATAAATGTATAATAATAATGTGACTGTGGTGGAGACATTTGAGTGTACGTTTGTATAGTGCAGAGACTGATGTGACTGGCTCATTGCTTTCTGTACAGCGCTGCGGTATATGTCAGAGTTATAAAAATGTATAATAATAATAATAGTGTTTGATTGGGGGGAGGGGAGGAATTTGAGTGTAAGCTCCTCTGGTGCAAGAACAACTGTTTATATTGTTTAATTGTCTCATGATTTACTCAATAAAGGAGAAATATAAATAGCCAATTGTACAACATGACCACTTATGCTGCCGCTCTAACAATGGCTCCTCTGTGATTTGGGGGTCACAGGTCTCGGCTGAGGTTGTAGCCGACGTTTGCAGTGAACGGTTCCTGTTTTCCTTTCCCCGTCTGTGTTCCTGCATGTGTTTGGCATACGTGTAAATTGCGATGTGCTCTCTGACCCGGCCATTCCGCGTTGGCGTCTTCCACTCTCCATCCTGCAGATTAAAACTATTGATCAGATGTGGCTGCGGCTATTGAGGAGGGGATGTAATCAAGATGCAGAGAGAGGGATGGATGTGGGGGGCCTTCTCATGACAGAGACAATAGGAGTTGGCGATGGACAGAGCGGACGTCGATTTCCTTCGGCGGTTTGGTCGCGGAGATAACACTCATTTTCCTCCTATTTATATTTTCTCCCATTTACACTGTGACATGTGTTAGCCATCCAATTTATCTCTTGGAAACATCCCTGTAATTGCTGCTCTGCAGAAAGCCAGAGAGGACACTGCGTATGTCAATGTCTTCTCACATGTCATAAGAAGACCTGCTACAAAGCAAGATACCTGTGTGAGAAGCTTGAGGTTGAAGCTGTCATGATGCTTGGGATGCATGCTAATTCTGGGTTTTGTTGTAAATCTATTTACCATCCCTGCATGCCAGGGTGCTCGGGGGAACCCCGGATTCTGAAATATCCTTTCAGGCCCACATCCAATCCCTGTCCAAATCATGCCGCCTCAACCTCCGCAACATCTCCAGAATACGCCCCTTTTTAACCAATGAAACCACAAAGCTCCTAATGCACTCCTTGGTTATCTCTCTCCTCGACTACTGCAACTCCCTCCTCATTGGATGACCTTTACACAGGCTATCCCCCTCCAGTCCATCATGAATGCTGCTGCCAGGCTCATCCACATTACCAACCGTTCCATATCTGCCACCCCTCTCTGCCAATCCCTCCACTGGCCTCCAATCAGTGTCCTCCACCCCTCTCTGCCAATCCCTCCACTGGCCTCCAATCAGTGTCCTCCACCCCTCTCTGCCCAATCCTTCCACTGGCCTCCATTCAGTGTCCTCCATCCCTCTGTGCCAATCCCTCCACTGGTCTCCATTCAGTGTCCTCCATCCCTCTCTGCCAATCCCTCCACTGGCCTCCAATCAGTGTCCTCCACCCCTCTCTGCCAATCCCTCCACTGGCCTCCACTCAGTGTCCTCCACCCCTCTCTGCCAATCCCTCCACTGGCCTCCAATCAGTGTCCTCCACTCCTCTCTGCCAATCCCTCCACTGGCCTTCAATCCGTGTCCTCCACCCCTCTGTGCCAATCCCTCCACTGGCCTCCAATCAGTGTCCTCCACCCCTCTCTGCCAATCCCTCCACTGGCCTCCAATCAGTGTCCTCCACCCCTCTCTGCCAATCCCTCCACTGGACTCCAATCAGTGTCCTCCACCCCTCTGTGCCAATCCCTCCACTGACCTCCATTCAGTGTCCTCCACCCCTCTCTGCCAATCCCTCCACTGGCTTCAACTCACCCAATGAATAAAATTCTAAATACTAACAACAACTTACAAAGCCATCCAGAACTTTGCCCCCAGCGACATCACCAACCCGGTCTCAAAATGTCACCTCCTCCCATACTCACCTCCAGGACTTCTCCCGAGCTTCATCCATCCTATGGAACTCCCTACCCCAATTTGTCTGGCTGTCTCCTTATCTATCCACTTTTAGACGATCACTGAAAACCTTTCTCTTTAAAAAAGCCTATCCTGCTTCTAGTAAACCGCCATTTATTTCCTCCATGAGCTCACCTCCCCCCCCCCCCCCCCCACAGCTATTACCTTTTTTATCACTCAACCCTTCCTCCTAGATTGTAAGCTCCCAGGATTAGGGCCCTCTGTTTCCTCTTGTGCCAAATTGTATTGTAACTGTCATGTCCGCCTTCATTTTGCAAAGCGCTGCGCAAACTGTTGGCGCCATATAAATCCTGTATAATAATAATAACTACAAGTTACATCAGTGCCCTGCAACTAGTACACAGTATACGATTCCATCTGATGCTTCTCTTACAGGTATGTTGTGTTGTAACAGATAATCCTGGAAATGAAATCATAGTTTTTTGATAAAAGGGATTATATCTAAAATCTACAAAACAAGTGTCTTTTTTTGGGAAAAAAAACTAAGATTTATTCACTGTAAGCACTTTGCACGTCTGCGGTAAGAATTCAGCACCATGGACAGAGCTGCTCACATTGTCATCAGGACACGTAGGCCAGTTACTGCCCGATCTCATATACTCATTCATGTTCTTTTTTTTTTTTTTTTTTAAACATTTTTCTAAATGATTTTACTTTCATGTTCCCCTCACATTCCCCCAACTCCATTATTTCTCATTCACTACCCTGCCCATAGGGATGACCTTATACCTCCCTCATTCCAACCAACCCACATGTCCCTCTTCCTTACTCAATTGAAGGCTTGAGATATTTTATCTACAGTATGTCTTATAATTAACCCCTCGCCTACCAGGCACTTCTACCCCCTTCCTTACCAGGCCAATTTTCAGCTTTCAGCGCTATCGCACTTTGATTGACAATTGCGCGGTCATGCAACATTGTACCCATATGAAATTTTGATCATTTTTTTTCTCACAAATAGAGCTTTCTTTTGGTGGTATTTAATCGCCACTGGGCGCTTTACTTTTTGCGCTATAAATTCAAAAATGTGCAAAAAATTTGAAAAAAAAAAAAAAGTTTATTTGTTTCTTTTATAAAATTTTTCAAACAGGTATTTTTTCTCCTTCACTGATTTGCGTTGATGAGGCGGCACTGATGGGCACTGATAGGCGGCACTGATGGGCACTGATAGGCAGCACTAAAGGGCACTGATAGGCAGTACTAATGAGGTGGCACGGATAGGCGGCACTGAAAGACAGCACTAATTAGGGGTCACGGATAGGCGGCACTGATATGCAGCACTGATAGGCGGCACTGATAGGTGACACTGATGATGGGTACTGATAGACGGCACTGACTGGCATCACTTCTGGGCACTGACTGGCGGCACTGACTGGCACAACCCCTGGGCACTGACTGGTGGCACTGACTGGCAGCACTGCTGGGCTGCACTGGTGGGTGGCACTGGTGGGCAGCACTGGTGGGTGGGCACAGGTGGGTGGCACTGGTAGGCACAGGTGGGTGGCACTGGTGGGTGGGCACAGGTGGGTGGCACTGCTGGGCACATGTAGGTGGCACTTCTGGGCACAGGTAGGTGGCACTGCAGAGTGGCACAGGTGGGGGCACTGCTGGGCACAGGTGGGGGCACTGCTGGGCACAGGTGGGGGCACTGCTGGGAACGGGTGGGCGGGGCTAGTGGGCGCACTGCTGGGCGGAACTTGCGGGTGTCACTGCTGGGCACCGATCATCAGGGCACTGATCATCAGTGCCCTGATGATCGGTGCCGATCCCCGCTCTGACAACTGCCGGTTCTCGGCAGTACTTTCCTCACGATCTGACAGCGTGAGGAAAGTGCAGCCGAGAACTGGCACTTGCATTTCCCTGTGATCAGCGTGTCATTGGACACCGCTGATCACGTGGTAAAAGGCCGGTGGGATCGGCCTTTCACCACATCACGTGATCAGCTGTGTCCGTAGGACACAGCGATCACGGAGATCGCCGGGTGCGCGCCCCCTGGGGCGCGCAGGAGAGCGCGTTCTGGGAGGACGTCATATGACGTCCACTCAGAACTGGCCGGCCGCGGTGAAGCCGTCATTCGGCTATGCGCGGTCGGCAAGAAGTTAACTAACTGTTGTATACCTTGTGTTTGGGGTGATTTCTGTTCTCATTATGATTTAAAAAGGAGCCAAACAACTATTTGATAATAAATGGCTTCCTATGATCATCATCCTTCAATAAAAGAGCATTTTTTGGTAGATCAGTCATATTTTCAATATCAATGCCAAAATTTCACAATTTCTGCTAGGGGGATGCAAACGTTTGAGCACAACTGTAGGTAGGTGAGATGGTCAGGTGTCCACATGGCTTTGATCATATAAGTAGGTGCAGGGGCGGACTGACCATTTGGAAACTCGGGCACTGCCTGAGGGCTCGGGGTCAGTAGGGGGCCCCATGAGATATCCCTGGTACCTTTTTCATAGGCTTTTTTGAGTTTGGGCAAGGACACAGGGGCCCCATGATCCTTTATTGCCCGGGGGCCCCATGAGTTGTTAGTCCGCCCCTGAGTAGGTGTGATGGTCAGGTGTCCAATAAGCTTTGGCCCTATAGGTAGTTGGGATGAACATGTGTCAACATACCATTAGCCTTATAGGTAGGTGTGATGGTCAGGTGTCCACATAACTTTGACCCTATAGGTAGGTGGAATGAACAGGTGTCCATATACCATTAGCCATATAAATAGGTATGATGGTCAGGTATCCACATAGCTTTGGTCATATAGGTAGATGTGATGGTAAAGTGCTTGCATAGCTTTGGTCATATAGGTACTGTAGGTGTGGTGATCAGATGTCCACATAACTTTGACTATATAGGTAGGTGTGATAGTCAGGTGTCCACATAGCTTTGGTCATATAGGTAGGAGTGGTGATCAGGTGTCCACATAACTTTAGTCAGATTGGTAGATGTAATGGTCAGGTGTCCACATAGCTATAGTCATATAGGTAAGTATGATGGTCAGGTGTCCACATAACTTTGGTCATATAGGTACTATAGGTGTGGTGATCAGAATCCACACAACTTTGGTCACATTGGTAGATGGGATGACCAGGTATCCATATACCATTATCCATATACAGTTGCAAGAAAAAGTATGTGAACCCCTTGGGATTACGTGGAGTTTTGCATGAATTGGGCATAAAATGTGCTCTGAACGTCATCTAAGTCACAAAAATAGAAGAACACAGTCTGCTGAACATAATACTACACAAACATTAGATGTTGCCATGGTTTAATTGCACATAACATGTAAACATTCACAGTGCAGGGAGGAAAAAGTATGTGAACCTTTGGACTTAATAACTGGTTGACCCTCCTTTGGCAGCAATAACCTCAACCAAACGTTTCCTGTAGTTGCAGATCAGACCTGCACAACGATCTGGAGTCATTTTGGACCACTCCTCTTCACAAAACTGTTTCAGTGTAGCAATATTCTTGGGATGTCTGGTGTGAATCGCTCTCTTAAGGTCATGCCACAGCATTTCAATCGGGTTGAGGTCAGGACTCTGACTGGGCCACTCCAGAAGGCGTATTCTGTGCTGTTGCAGCCATTGTTTTGTTGAATTACTTGTATGCTTTGGGTCATTGTCCTGTTGCATCACCCATCCTCTGCGGAGCTTCAGTTGGCCGGCAGATGGTCGTACGTTTTCCTGCAAAATGTCTTGATATTTAGGTAGATATTATGGTCAGATGTCCACATAGCTTTGGTCATATAGGTAGGTGTGATGGTAAAGTGCTTGCATAGCTTTGGTCATATAGGTAGTGTAGGTGTGGTTATCAGATGTCCACATAACTGTGACTATATAGGTAGGTGTGATAGTCAAGTGTCCACATATCTTTGGTCATATAGGTAGGAGTGGTGATCAGGTGTCCACATAACTTTAGTCAGATTGGTAGATGTAATCGTCAGGTGTCCACATAGCTATAGTCATATAGGTAAGTATGATGGTCAGGTGTCCACATAATTTTAGTCAGATTGGTAGATGTAATGGACAGGTGTCCACATAGCTTTGGCCCTATAGGAAGTTGGGATGACCAAGGGTCCACATAGCTTTGGTCATATAGGTAGGTATGATGGTAAAGTGCTTGCATAGCTTTGGTCATATAGATACTGTAGGTGTGGTGATCAGAATCCACATAACTTTGACTATATAAGTAGGTGTGATAGTCAGGTGTCCACATAGCTATGGTCATATAGGTAAGTGTGATGGTCAGGTGTCCACATAACTTTTGGTCATATAGGTACTGTAGGTGATCAGAATCCACATAGCTTTGACTATATAGGTAGGTGTGATAGTCAGATGTCCACATATCTTTGGTCATATAGGTAGGAGTGGTGATCAATTGTCCACACAACTTTGGTCACATTGGTAGGTGGGATGAACAGGTGTCCATATACCATTAGCCATATGGGTAGACATTATGGTCAAGTGTCTGCATAGCTTTAGTTATGTAGGTAGGTGTGATGATCTGGTGTCCACATAACATTTGTCATATGGGGAGGTGTGATGGTCAGGTGTCCACATAACGTTTGTCATATGGGGAGGTGTGATGGTCAGGTGTCCACATAACGTTTGTCATATGGGGGAGGTGTGATGGTCAGGTGTCCACATAACCTTTGTCATATGGGGAGGTGT